TCTCTCCCTTTCTTTCTTTCTTTCTTTCTTTCTTTCTTTCTTTCGTTTTTAGGTTTTTACCATAAAGTGCATGTGCTTGATGGAGAGAGACAGACTGAGAGAGGGAAAGTAAAAAACCACCCCTGGGGACCAGTAGATGATATAATGGTTATGTCACTGGACTCCCACAAGGCCAACGGTGGTTGAGTCTTGGACCTAGTGGCTTGAAACTCATGCCAGGTGCATGTGCTTGTGTACCCAGGAACCAGAGAAGAGAATGGAGAAGGGACTGCAGCATGGCCATGCTCCCAGGAACTGATTTCTTACTGTCTCTGTCTCTCTGTCTCTCCGGCGATCACATGTGTCCTATAGCAAAGATCTCTCTCTCTCAAAAGGAGGGACCAGCTGTTTGCATAATGACTGTGTCGTTGGACTTCCATGTAGTCGACCACAGTTCAAGTCCCAGATCCGGTGGCTTAAACTGATGCTGAGTGCGTGTGCATGCATGCCTGAGATCCCAGGAGGAGAATGGAGAAGAGATTGTGGCATGGCCCTCCACCCTGGGGGGTGATTTCTCGCTTTCTCTCTCTCTCTCTTTCTCTGTCTTTCTGGCAAGCACACATACCCTATAGCAAAAACCTCTCCCAAAAAAAACAAACAACAACAACATATGGGGGGCCAGCAGGTGGTGTGGTTATTACGGGCACTGGGCTCCCATATGGCCAACCTTGGTTTAAGTCCTGGACCTGGGGGTTTGTTTTCTCACTTTCCCTCCCTCCCTCTCTCTCACTCTATCCCTCTCTGGTCAAATTAAAATAAATAAATAAAGTTGGGACCCAGCAGGTGGCATGGTGGTTAAGATGTTGGACATTCCCACATGGCCAACCATGGTTTGAGTCTCGGATCTGGTGGTTTGCTTTCTTATTTTCTCTCTATCTCTCATTCTGTGTGTGTGTGAGTGTATGTGTGTGTGTGTGTGACTGGTCAAATTAAAATAAAATGAATGAATAAATAAATAAATAAATAAAGTCAAACAGAATAATTTTTTTTTTTAAAAAAAAGCAGATGGGGGCAGGGGGCCAGCAGATGGTGTAGTGGTTAAGGCACTGAACTCCCACATGACTGACTGTGGTTTGAATCCCGGACCTGACAGCTTACTTTCTTATTTTCCCTCTTTCTGTCTCTCTCTGGTGAGTGCACATGCCCTATAACAATTAAAATAATAATAAAATTAAATAATTATTTTAAAAAATAAATAAAGCATATTGGGCACATATATGTACATGCCCAGAATCCTGAGAGGAGAGAGGAGAAGGAATTACAGCATGACCACCCCCCTAGTAGGGTGTTTTCTCACTTTCTCTCTCTCTCCCTCTCTCTCTCTGGCAAGCACATGTACCTGATAGCAAAACTAAAAAACTAAAATTTAAAATTTTTTTGCTAGAGGGCATGTGTGCTCACCAGAGAGGGGAAGGGGAGAGAGGGTGAAAGCACCCCCCAAATGGGGTGTGGTCACACCACAATCCCTTTTCTTCATTTCTCCACCCTGTTAGGATTTTAGGTACACATGCACACACTCCTGCCATGTTTTTATCAGCTCCCAGGGCTGGGATTTGAACTGGGCTGTTGGCCATATTGAACACATTCATCTTAACCACCAGGCTGGGGAGTTAGCCCAATAAAAATACTTAAGAAAAAGAGAACAGAGGGCCAGCAGGTGGCATGGTGGGTGGGTGGGGGGTGTGGCTGGACCCCCGGCTAACTGTGGTTTGAATCCTGGACCTGGCAGCTTGCTTTCTCACATCCCCTCTCTCTCTCACTCTCTCGCTCTGTCCCTCTCTGGAAAGAAAAGAAAAGGAAAGGAAAGGAGGAAATTTAAATGAAGTAATTTTTTTAAAGAATTATTTATTAAAAAAAAGAATTATTTATTTAATTCTATTTGTTATTGTTATTGTTATTGTTTTGTTTTGTTTGAATTTGACCAGACAGAGACAGAGAGAGAATGGGAAAGTGAGAAAGCAAGCCGCCAGATCCAGGACTTGAACTGCGGTCAACTGTGTGGAAATCCAATGCCTCTAACCACACCACCTGCCTGCCCCAAATTAAGTAATCCTTTGTAAAAAATAGAACAGTATAGTGTTTGGTAGCAGGTGTTTTGCATAGTTAATCCACTTATATAATCTTTTGGGGTTTTTTTAGTTTATGCTTTAGGGCGTGTACACTCACCAGAGAGTGACAGAGAGACAAAGAGACTCAGGGAGTGTGGCTTGAGTCCCCATCCTTACCTTTAGTTGGGAAAATGAAGGCATTTTTTGCTTTCTATTGTTCAAAAAGTGTTTTTGTATCCATTATCTCATTTGACCCTTTCAGTCATCTCTAGGAAATACTTAAAGCTCATCACTTACTTGATCTCATGAGAAACTTGGGGCTCAGAAAGGTTAAGTAACAGGCCCAGCACACCCACAGCTCAGCAGATGCTATTGGGGTGATGGCTGGCTGTCATCACGAATCGACAGTACAGTACACTGGGCTCTCTGTATCAATTACCAACAATCATCTAACATGACATAGGCTAAGGATCATAACCTTTTTTGTTTGTTATACGGTGCCTATGCCCACTGGAGCAATAGAGAGAGAGGGATTGAAAAAAATCACCCCCCAAAAGGGATGGCCATACTGCAATCCCGTCACTTCTGTTCTCTTGGGATTCGGGACATGCATGCACACTTGCCCGGCATGGTTTTCAAGCAGCTGGTTTCAGGATTTGAATCCTGCAGTCAGCCATATCAGATTCAGTGTATTAACTTTCATGCCACCTGCTGACCCTATTCATAACCCCATTTTCATTTTCTTTTTCTTTTTTTTTTCTTTTTGAAGAGATTTTTGCTACAGAGCACGTGCACTCACTGGAGAGACAGAAAGAGAGAGAGAAACAGAAAGTGAGAAATCACCCCCACGGAGGATGGCCACGCCACAGTCCCTTCTCTTCCATTATCCTCTTGGAATTTTGGGCATGCACACACATGCACCTGGCATAAGTTTTAAGTTGCCAGGTTCAGTACTCGAACCACAGTCAACTATGTGGGAGTCCAGCAACGTAACCATTTCACCATCTGCTGGTCCCCATAATCCCATTTTATCAGTGAGGAACTGGAGTCTCAGAAGCTAAATAATTCTGCTAAGATCCCAAGCTCAGTAAAAAAAAAAACAGGGCCAGACCCCCACCCCCTTGGCAGACCACAATTCAAATCCCAGCTCTAGTGGCTTGAAAAATATGCCAGCGGGAACCAGCAGTTAGCATAATGGCCATGTCGCTGGACTCCCACGTAGTCGACTGCGGTTCGCATCCCGGACCCGGTGGCTTAAAACTCATGCCGGGCGCGTGTGCGTGCGTGCCCAAGATCCCGAGAGGAGAATGGAGGAGAAGGGATTGCAGCGTGACCATCCCCCCGGGGGCTGATTTCTCGCTTTCTGTCTCTATGTCTCTGTCTGTCTGGTGAGCGCACGTGCCCTATAGCGAAAAACCTCTCCAAAAAAAGAAAAAAATGCCAGGCACCTGTGCATGTGTGCCCAAATCCTGAAAGGTGGAAAGATGGAGAAGACATTGCAGTATGACCATGCCCCATTGGCATGTGCTTTCTCCCTCTCTGTCTCTCTTGGACACATACATGTGGCTTGCTTTCTCATTTCCCCCCTCCCTCTCTCTCTATGGTCAAATTAATAATTTATTTATTTATTCATTTATTTATTTTAATTTGACCAGAGAGAGACACACACACACACACAGAGAGAAAGGTTAAATGAGAAAGCAGGCCACCAGGTCCAGGACTTGAACTGTGGTTGGCCATGATTGAGTGACTCAGACCTTTTCACAC